GTTACTATCATGGCACTGCAACTTGACCAGAGGACTGTCACGTTTATTGCAATATCAGAGAAATCTGCTACCTACAGTGCGCTAGCTCAGCTGAAATTTTTCAGAATGTGAAATTAATGCTCTCTGCTCCGACAGCTCTAAAATCAAGACACAGCTTTAAACAAGGATGACTAGTGAAGACCAAAGCTTTTGTTTTTGTTTTATTTTTCTATATGAAGCCAATTAATTTGCCTAAGAATTGTTTAAGAACTGCAGACTAACAACGGTCTGAAGGAAGCTTTTAACTACATACTTTCCTCAGGGATTAATTAAGTATTCTGATTTTGATTGACTCTGATAAATTCATTGACTTCTAGAGTTATTCCAGAGTTTTGAGAATAAAAGACGTTTAGGTGGAAATATAGCTTTATATATCTTTTACCTGCTGCCAGGATGAACTGACCATCCCGGGACACTTTGATGGAGGTGCACACTGTGGGCATCTCAAAGTCCTGGATGAGTTCAATCCTGCGTTGAATTTCTGAGTAATGCAAAGAACAGAAGCGTGTGAGTAAAGACAAACATTTAGAAGGAAATCAATACGTGTGGGAAACTGTAATTATAGCTGTCAACTCACCAACATCTTTCTTTTGCAACTGTCTCTTCTTCCTGTCTGACAGCCACTGTGTTAACAACACAAAGGTGATCAGGATTTAGCATAAAGAATAACATTCAACAACACAGCTGCTTCCTCTTCTCTTAGTTTGATGGCAGGTCACAAAAACAAAGCTACATAGAAGGTAAAAAAGATAACCTAAATAGTTAACAGGGTCAACAGTAAGAAAGATCTCAAATGGAGCCGCAACTGTCAGGTGACATCAATGGTAACCCATTAATAGAGAATCTGCCTCAGCGAGCAGACTGTCAGAAATTGAAAAAAGAAAACACAAGGACGCGGCTGTTTTGAATATGGAAAGAAGCATATGTATGGACTTAACTAACTGCTCTTTTTTTAAGGTGATTATCTCAAAATTTTGTTTTTCTCAGAATGAGCTTGACATCACCACTTTGACAACACCAACATATCAGTTGTATTCCTTGTCTCTTACTGATTCCTGGTTGAGGTGGTCCGGCTGTATTTTGTTCTCAACATGTCGAAGAAAACTTAAAAGGAGACTAAAGGTGGACTTTATTCATTGTATCCAGAAAGCATCCTAATCAGATACATTAACCGTTTCAACAGGCTCCCTTAATTAATGAGCATTTTATTTTATATTATGATCTTTTGTCTTTTTAATTTATCATTTACTCAGTTTTACCACATTTTACTGTGTCTGTGGAGCACATTGACCTGCACTAACCTGCCTGAAAGATGCCTATAAATAAAGTTTGTAACTGCTAAATAGACATTTTAAAGTTTTACCCAATTCTCATGTAGTATCTGAAATGTTAGACCTTTGATCCGTGATAATACCCAAATAATAACAACTATCGCTGCTGTAAATACAGATAAACTTTGATTAAATTTTCTGAGTATGACCTCATCTACGTCAGTGAACCTCTTCCAAGCAGCGGCAGATTTTTTCCATTTATTTATATGAATAATTTCATTAAATGGCGGTGTTAATAAGTATGAATTCAGCTATAACATTTCATTAATACAGTGTTAAGAACACTCATCTTACGGCTAGCTTGGTTAGCCGGCTAAGGTGAAGGTAAGCAGTAACTTCTCAGGTATGACATGAAGGACATCAGGAGCAGGAAGTGTGCTTCTTACCTCTGGAAGAGACTTCCCGTAGCTTAAATTGTAAATTTTGACATCATTCACGCTGGAAACCTGCATTGTAGAACGAGAGCATAACACTGATGCTGCTGCTATACACCGGCGAGCTGTGCTGAACCCACGTTGCTACTAGAGGAGCAAAAACAGGAAGTGGACGTGAGTTTAGAGAAACGGGTCCGAGTAGAAACTGCACAGACTACACAAAGTTCCGAGAGGTTCAAAAACGACCAGTTAGCTACGTTGTTTTCGCTATTTAATACACATATATAGTTATTTTTTTGTATGTATCATATACCTGTTTTAACTAGCTATGTTTAATTTAAAATGTAGTTTAACTTTAGTTAAAAATAGACAACAAAACAAAACAAAAACAGAGCATTATAAATAATTGTATAATGTATGTATTGTGATTGTAAGCCCAACAAGGGACAATGGTTGAAAATTAGCAATAGCTATAAATTTATGTGCGTTACATCAGTCTCGTGTTTTGTAATTGGACTATGTTAAACTTCACTGTCCCTTTTAAATAAATTAAACAATAGCTATAGCGAAAGGGTTCTTCCAGTTTTCTTCTTCTTCTTCTCTGTTTGTTGTTGGTAAATAACAAACTGCTGGATTCAAAAGAAAGAGAAAGCCCAGTCACATTCTCCTGTATTTTGCTGCCCTGTTATGAATAATGTATTCAGTAAAGTATTCAAAGGAGGATGTCTGTGTAGGTTCTTAGTCATCCAGGCCATGGTAATCTAAGGAGCTTGGAAAGAAAACACTTAACGAAGTCCAGTCGTTTTTCTTTCCAAGCTCCTTAGATTATTCAAAGGAAGGATGTCCAGAAGATGAAGAAAGAAGACGTGTTCTAGGAACCTAGGTACAACAAATAGAGAGGTGGTGAAACCAAAGGAAATGGCTTACAGTGAGGTTAGGTTGGACACTAAAGAAGGAGACAATTTATAATGATTGGCTAAAGGCAGCAAGACCAATTTGAAAAGAATGTGCAACAGGTTGGAGTGATTAAGGACAGAGATGGAAATGTACTACATGTACAAAAAATGTACTACACAGGGATAAAGCTGATGAACCATACCACGGATATATGGGAAAGAGTTGCTGAAACAAGCTAAAGAAGAGCGGTGATGATCAATGAGCAGCAGTATGGCTTCCTGCTGAATAAAATCACTACAGATTTAATGTTTGCTTTGAGAGTGTTGAAGGAGAAGTATGTGAGGGCGATGCAGGACATGTATGAGGACAGTGACACTGTGGTTAGGTGTGCGGGGTGACAGATGGGTTCAAGGTGGAGGTGGGATTACATCAGGGATTGGCTCTGAGCCCATTCTTGTTTGCGGTGGTGATGGACAGGCTGACAGATGAGGTCAGGCAGGGGTCTCCATGGACTATGATGTTAGAAGACAACATTGTGATCTGTAGTGAGAGCAGGTGGGAAAGAGTCTGGAGATTTGCAGCTATCCTCTGATTGGAAGAGGAATGAAAGTCAGTAAAAACAAGACAGAATATATGTGTGAATGAGAGGGAGACAGGTAAGAAGGAGGAGCTGCTATAAGTAGGGGTAGAGAATGTGGACAAGTGAAATACCTGGGGTCAATTCAAAGCAATGGACAGTGCAAGAGAGAGGTAAAGAAGAGAGACAGGCAGGGGTGAGTGGGTGGAGATGAGTGTCAGGGGTAATTTGTGACAGAAGAATAGCAGCAAGAGTGAAAGAAAAAGTTTCCAAGATGGTAGTGAGACCTGCTGTGAACAGCTTAGGTCGACTATTTTGGAGATAAAGTTAGAGAGTCGAGATGAGGGGGGAAAAAGCTATAAATAGATATAAATTATGTTAAGTTTAATCCAATGTCTTCAAATCCAAGTCTTGATAATAGTTTATTGTTTTATACTCCTTCTTATACATCCCAGTTTCTCCTTTCCTTCCATTTCTGTGAAACCATCATCCTTTTCTTACCTATTTCCCTTTGCTATCGCCATGTTTCCTTCAATTTCTACTTGATTATATTGTTGACTTCTGTCTGAAGCTGAAAACTAAATCAATGAAAATGCTTTTTATGGCTCCTTAGCTGGAGTTTCATTTCCTTTAATGCCAAAATGTACAATCTCATAAAAATCTAGCTGTAGAGCAAAGACTCCAGCATGTGGACTCTTTGTTTTTGTAAGAGTTTAAGCACTATACATTTCACATTCCAGTTGAATATTGTAGCCTATTTTATTCTTATTCTTCTTATAGTTTTCATTTATAATTATACATATCTAAATTATCATTTTTGCAAAATGAAAGGTGATATGTTCATTGAACAGAAATGGTCGGGTCATTTATTTGACAGCGCTCCAGTGTTCAGGCTAAGGGGCTATTTCACATATACAATTGGACCGTATCATTTAAATGTTTTTAATAACATTGGCATTTTGTCCAAATTAAAAATGAACTTGAAGAGGTTTATTTGTGAGTTTATTGTCTGAGGCTCTTGAATACTTGCCTTTATATCCTCTTCCTTATATTTTTCCTCTTTTATCTTACCATGGGTGGAACTTTGAATGTTGCTTCAGTGTTTTGGGGTTTATTGTAATGCAGTAAATAACAGTTGGCTTCATTTTGGTTTGTTTTGCATGTTGTTTATGTTTCTAGTAAGTACTTCAGCTTTTTACCTCCACTGTATATATAAGCCAAACTTCTGTTGTGAAATTAGAAATATGTTCAAGAGATTATACAGAGATTATTTGTTGGCATCAAAAAGATCATACCATTCTTGAACCGTCCGATTCATTTTAATCAGAGCTTTATGTTTATCTTTACGAATTGGACTTATGTTCTTCGCGCTCATCGATCTATTAGTCGGCCCATCCACACAAACACACACAAACATGGCGACTATTTTGTTTTGTGCTCAGATCACCTGGAGTGATGTAACTGCTTCTGGTGACAGACAGCAGAGGACAGTGGGCTGGCTCAGCCAGTCTCAGGTGGAGCTGCTGCTCAGACTCTCCAACACTCACACGGGGACAGGCACAGCACGGTCATGAAGATAACCTGAAGGTAAGTCTCTGCTCTGAAAAGAGCTTCCTCTTTCCTTTATGGCATTATCAAGGCAAGAGCTGAAAGAACAAAATCCTGAGCACAGGTGAATCATGCCATTTTACAAATCTGCCTTAGAATAAGACTCTACATATTTCAGTGGTAGAGTTCATGTTATTATAAGTTTGTCTGCTCAGGATCACAGTTTGGTGCCAAAGGCAGTACCTGTGGGAAGTCATGACGGACTTTTGGCTGATTTCTGTTCCACTGGACAAAACAAGTTTAACCAGTGTAGAGAAACTCAAGCGCACCATTGCCAAAACCAACCTGGCCTCCTCCTGCTGCAGGTTCTCCATTCCAGATCTTAAGGTGAGGATGTGCATCATCTGAATAATTTAAAAAAAATGATATTGTGTCTCTGTGCTAACAAAAACAAAGAGTAAGTGGCATGAGTGTGTGTTAGCTCTGTGTTTGTAGCAGTACAGGAGAGTGATGGTGTTTGGTGTCTTTCTCTGATGAAGAGGTAAAGGCTCAGGTTGCTCTCTACAGTTTGAGGCAAAATTTCCATCTGAATCGTTACACTCAACGTGATCAATGAGCATCTTGTCTTCCAGGAAACGCATTTCTGTATCATCAAGAGTTCAGACATTAAGCAGCTTTAGATGTAGTGATTGTAAATGCAGGGTGTTATGAAGTCAGATTTATTAAACGCAGGTTGCAGTAACATTAACTGTGCTGTGTGTGCCGTGACCTCAGGTGGGAGTACTGGACAGTCTGCTCAGCGTGTCAGATGATCTTTCCAAACTCGACACGCTGACTGAAAGGTAAAAAAGCTGAATGTGCTGCTCTCAATCTGTTCCTGCTGATTAATGAATAAGTTTGTCTCATTAATCATCGCATGTTTGCATTTTCACGTGCAGCTTTGTCCCTCATTAAGACCCAATGATTCTGAGCTCCTGTGCAGTCTGTGCCATGATTAATTGATGGTCAGGGGCAGCTATCGGTTAGTTTTCCCTCCTGCTTTTAAATTCACTGCTGGTGCATTTGAGCTGACACAGTCCAGACTTTAAAGAGACAGTTCACCCTAAAGTAAAATGAGTATTAAAGGTAAGAACTTAAGATGCTGCGGGGAAAAATAAAACAAACAAACACAAAGAACCCCATAAATCCAACTAAAGTTAAAAATTTACTTATGCAACTGAAAAACATAAGGAAACAAACTGGGAAAAGCAGGACATGGACCAGAAGAACAGATTTAAATGCTAGGAAAAGTGAAAATCAAAACAAAACTTTAATTATGACAGCAGATACTTTAGACTAGTTGCATTCATTAAAGCTATGAAACCTATAATTCACTACTAAGTAATTTCTTACAAGGGAAAACAGCAAGAATTTAATTATTAGTTTTTGTCTATTGAAAAGTAAAATCTCAAATATAAGAAATGCAGTTTGAGTTACATGGAAAACATAGAACATGGAAAAAACAAAACAAAAAAACACAAAGAGGTGTGAATGTCAGTGTTTTCAGGTGTTGAAATGTTGAATTGCACAATGAAAATGTAAGAAAGAACTTCATTAAGTAAAAAAGTAAGCATAACTTATGTTGTTGGTAAATGCAGCCATCTGCAACCCTAAAACCCTGAGGATGGATGGATGGATGGATGGATGGATGGATGGACAGACCCTGGTGATGTCATCCACTGAAGTCTTAATATGAAGCGTGGAGCTCAGACTTTTTTGATATCATAATTTTGCCATTTAATTAAACAGTTGCACAAGCATTGGAAGAATCTGGATGTGATTGTATGTGTATTACTGCTTGCAGTGAATTCATAACATAAATAACCCTCCTATCTGATTCAAATAATTACAGTTATGTACCAAATAAAGACTTTAAACCAGCCATTAAGCCCATCAAGTGATCAGGAAAGTGTTTAGATGAGAGTTGTGGACTGTTTTGCCATAGACATTTATACTACCAGAAGTCTTTTGGCAGCCAGTGGACTCAGGCCCTGCTGGCCATTTGAAAGAATGCAGGTGCGAGGCACTTCCGTTTTGGCTTAATTTTCCAGACCTGGAAACCACGGCCATCTATAATAGAATCTAACAGGAACACTTCTCTGTGATGGTCTGTTTCTGACTTACTGAAGAATAGAAATATGACGTATAGGCAAGCAAGCGGGTGTCCTTGAAACGCCTCAGCAAAACTTATAAAAAACTAAGCTAAGTGAGCAAAATCATTGCTAAAACCAAGCTCACTCGAGCAACTGGTACAACTGCGAAACTATATAAGAGGCTTGAAAACAGGCAACAGGCGAACCAAGGACAGAAAACAGTTACGTCACACTCGAGGAGCTCTGGACAGTGTAGAGATCTGCACAGAGACAAGTTAGGCAAGCAAGCAAGCAGAACATCAGGGGAAGTCTTTAATGCAAAAAGATTTCTTTAGTTTTATTCCTTACTTTTTCTTCAGTCTGAGATGTTTCTACATCAGCAGTTCATTGTGTGTAGCAGGAACTTTATGCAAAACATATAAACACTGTGTAATGATGGTGTTTCTCCTGTCGCCTGGTCAGTGTGATCAAAAAAACATGCCAGTGTATGAAGGAGGTGCTGGAGTCTAGTGACAAAGTGCTGGAAAATGCTTTGGCCAATGGAGGTGAGTCACACACAAACACACACGCCGAGAGTGTTAATTATCTCATAGGGAAACTGGATACAGGCCACATACACACTGCTATTAAGACTAACAGCTACTGAAAAACTCCATTAAAGGCCTGATGCTTTTACTGTAGACTAATGCTTGCAGGCTGTAGGAGAGAACAACAGCAGACCAGGCTAACCAGCATGTCTGATTACTCTCCCTCCATCAGACCACAGCAAGAACCAGAGAGCAGCCCTGTCACCCCTGAAAGCTTACCTCAAGTCTCTGAGGGGTATTTTATCTGCTCTTTGAGCTGGAGTGCAGTTCTGTGTGACTCCTATTATAAACCACATCTGTAGTATCTGCTTGATTTTTTCTTAAAGACATACCAAACCCTCGGTGTGTTTAAAGTTGTGTCATTTGGATACACAACTTATGTTTTTTCCTCTCTCTCTTAGTTGACTTGATGAACTTCATGATCAAGTTTCAGTGGGACAAAGCAAAATATCCTACATCTCTAACTCTCTCCAGTCTGGCAGAAATCATCAACAAGGTACAACCTCATAAAAAAGTGGGGATGATAATTAATGACATAAATATGACAGCAATTTATAACTAAACTCTTGTCAAGTTGATAGACACAAAAAATACAGCAAAGTCACATTTCACATGCTAACATATTTACCTGTTAGCATAGCTTCATATGCAGTTTTATATGACTGGGCGATGTTATAAAATGTTTACATTAAAAGTTACTTACATATTTTATTCATAATCTTAATGAAATGACTCACTTTTCTGATATTTGAAGCATAAAAGCAATCATTAGAAGTAAAATGCCAACATGAGGCTATAAATAAACCACAGCTAAAGATCATCACGACAAACTCTTACATTTTCATATTTTCAGGCCAGAGTTACAGGAGATATTGAACAACTCTTTACACAGTGTGTCACAGAAATCCTACTAATGGCAGAGTAAACTTCACTAGATTGTAATTTCACTAAATTCAGTTACATTTAAAATGAATAAAGTAGTGCTGTCAGCTAACACGTTAATGAGCTAACCACACTAATGCGTTGACGCCATGCAGCCCCATGCACGGGGCGATATGCGCTAACTCGCTAACGGAGATTTGCCATGGTAATGCGGTTATGGCTTTAACGTCATTTTAACGAGATTAACGCTGACATCAGTAGAATAAAGATAAACTTGCAGGTTACATTGGCTCATTTAGTAATTTATGAGCCAATGTAACCTGCAACCTTTAGTAAATGCATTACATATTTGATGTGTGTGTGCTGTTAAAGCTAAATACTACGAGGGAGAAAAAATACTCCTAAAATTGAAAGTGAGCACTACTTTTACAGCTTCTCCTGTTTAAGCTCTGTGCACCAGAACAAGTCACTGCTGATTTTTGACATCACACTTAATTCAGACTTTGCTCCTCCACTTCAAAGTCCTCTGTTTTTAACCAGTTCCAACACTTTATTCTAATTATAAACTCTGAAAAGACGTTTGGCAAAAACCTTGCATTTCAGGCTAGCTTTTCCAAAGGCTGAAAACAAATTCTGAAGCAGCTACATGATTCTAGTTCCCTCTCAGATGGCAGAAACATGTTGCCTACCCAAGTTTTAACACCTGCATGTGTTTCAGGAAGTTTCGCAGGTGGAGGCAGAGTTAAAATCTCGTTCTGCAGCGTACAACAGTGTGAAAGCGAGCTTGCAAAACCTCGAGCACAAACTAGAGTGAGAAACATTAGTTATATTAAATAGAAAAAAATCCCTACATTATCTATAGATATGCATGTATACATATCCACATACTAAAGTGGAATTTTTGTCTTTGCAGTGGCAATTTACAAACTTGCAGTCTGAATGATGTCGTGAGAAAAGAAGACCTGGTGGTCTCAGAGTACCTCACCACTCTGCTGGTAGTGGTAGCCCGGTCAGTGACACAACATGACTATGTTTTTCTGGGATAGTCTTAATATTAAAATGTTTGTTTCTGCATATTTTCTGGTCACAGAGGGAGCTACTCGCAATGGGAGAGGAGTTACGAGTCCTTTTCAAAATTTGTGGTTCCGCGGTCGAGCAGGTGAGCTGTCTTTATGCACTCTTGGCCATGAGACAAACAATTCCACTCGATCCAAGTACAAGTGCACCGGTAGCTGCTCTCAGCATCCAAAAGGTCAGGCTAAGTAACCGGAGGTGTTTCATTACCAGCAGAAAGTAAGAGTCTTTTGGCCTGGATCTGCAGAAGCGAAAAGAAAATGTCTTTTTTGACAAGTAAAATGTTAAAGTTGACATGAAAAAAATAACTTTGTCAGAGCTGATGTGCAGGAAATAATCCAATTTCTATAAAAAATAAAAAATAAAATCATCCAAAACAGGAAGGGGAAATCGTGAGGGACATACCAAGTGACACAATACCAATGACAAAAAATGATGAATGACAAATTTTGGGAGGTGACCAGTACCCCCTCTGCGCCCCCCCTTGGAGGCACCCCTGATCCAAGAAATCTACTTATCACTTGCAAGACACTCTTTTGTCGGTATAAGGCCTAGACAGCTAAATTGATAATTGTTTAACTTCTAGAAAATAATACTCCACATTCCATCTTAGTTTTTGTAACGCTCATACACTTACTGGCCACTATATTAGGTACAACTTGTTGTGCTGGTGTAGATTCAGCAAAATGCTGGAAACATTTCTCAGAGATTTTGGTCCATATTGACAGGACAGCATCACGCACATGCTTCAGATTTGTCAGCTAACATCCATGATGCAAAACCTCATTCCACCGCATCCCAAAGGTGCTCTATTTGATTGAGATCTGGTGACTGTGGAGGCCATTTGAGTACAGTGAACTCACTGTCATGCAAGCATTGGAAGCAGCCATCAGCAGATGGGTACACTGTGGTCATAAAGCAATGGACATGGTCAGCAACAGGTGTTCAGATGATACTCAGTTAGTTTGCCAAGATAATATCCCCCACACCATTACACCACCACCACAAGCCTGATAACAATGCAAGATGGATCCATGCTTTCATGTTGTTTATGCCAAATTCTGACCCTACTACTTGGTTTACCCAACAAAGTGGCCGATGAGTGTTTTTCTTACAGAGAACCTGATGTTGCCCATGTAAATCCTATCAACCTGCTATTACATTGTGATCAGTCTGTTAAGGACTCTTGACAAATTCCCTATAATTCAATTCAGCGTTATTTATATAGCACCAAATCACAATAACAGTTGCTTTATATTGGCTCAATAAACACAGACTTGAAATAAACCTGCAGCAATAAGTTCAAATGCAAGTAACAAACACTACTTGACTTACTCCTTGTTGTCTTTTACCTTGTTGCTACATCTTTTCTATTGTTGTCTTATGTGACTGTCAGGAAGCTGTATGAGAATGGAGAGGGGGGAGTCTTCTCAGTGACACTTTTCAAAAGAGCTGTGTGTGAATTCAAAGCCAAAGCCCAGGAAAGCAAGTAAGCAGGACGGTGTGACAGAAAACACCCAATATAGTCAAATCTGTGTTGTCTGTTTGAATTACCAAAGTGTAGCCTCTGGTCCACACAGGTTCTTCGTGCGGGACTACAGCTTTGATCTGGAGGAGCAGAAGCAGCGGGAGATTATGCAGCTTAGTTTTCACAAAAAGGAGCAATATGTGAGTCAAACATTACACACGCCCTCTGAAGTTTTTTTATGTTTTGGTGTTTTATTAATGCGCTTCTCTCTTTCGCAGGGAATCTTTGTACGCTGGCTGAAGGTGAATTTCAGTGAAGTGTTTGTTGCCTGGATTCACTTGAAAGCGTTGCGGGTGTTTGTGGAATCAGTCCTGAGGTCGGCAACTGATGACAGTGGTGACTTTTTTTTTCGTGAAGAAGGCTCGCGATTGATTCATGTGATGATATTTCCTTTCAGGTATGGGTTACCTGTGAATTATCAGGCTCTTCTACTGCAGACTGACAGGAAGCACTCGAAGAAACTCAAAGAAGAACTCGCTTCACTGTTTGTGCATCTGGACCCCACCGCCAGCATTACTGATGTAAGGAGCCACAGTGTTATAATGTTGTCATTATATTAATGTAAAGCACAGACATACAGAAGGTGGATGCACCAACATTAGTTGGAAAAGCCACAAATTGAGGGATTTAACTGACGACATCTTGTTTGTTGAAGCTGGGAGGGACCATATATGGATGAAAGAATGAAGTTGTCGTCTAATGCTGGCCTCGTCAGTTGTGTGCTACATAGGTTTATCACACAGACACAGATATCTGAAAATTAGTGGAAGGAATGACCTGGGCCATTTTGTACGGTATTCATTGTGCTGTCTTTTGCAAACATACCCATGATACTTTCCTTAGTGAAAGATGAAATGTCCACCTTAATGTTGTTCTTTAAAAAAACTGTTAACACTAATGGGAAACATTATGGTGAATCCAAGTGAAGCTTTTGTGTGACTCAGTAAATCAAACAGAGCCTCAAAAGGATGAGTTTGGGTAGAGTTAGGCTGCAAGGTGGCTCACAACAACTGTGGCCAGGTTAAATCAGCTTATCAAATAGATATGTAGGAGAATCTGATCTGCACTGTGTTACAGATGAGCTCATTTGCTGGGAGTGCTCGACTTGATGGCCTGCCTGAACTAATCCTGATAAACTAAAATTGAGCTTTTTCCAGGTAGACATTATTTAAAAACTTCAAACCTTATTTTTTTCAACAATATGCAATCTCATAACAGTTGAATTATTTGCTATTTAATTTGAATGGAAACTTGCTGTAGTTTACTTATTAAATAAGAGTGTTTCTACAAAAGTAGCACAGACAGAAGTATGAGATTTCATTTTTGAACAGGGGAGCATTCGTAGTGTACTCTTGGACTCCTTTTAACTGTTGTAACAGCTTTTACTTCTCTGGGTTTGACTGTAAGCACTTTCCTCAATGTGCACAGTTATTTTGCTGCTTGGTGATGTAAAATATAAATTTTTACCTGAACCTTTTTATGTAGCCTGTTTTTTTTTTTAGGTTAAAAATATTAAACATTTTGAAATCAAGACTCAAGCAACAACAAATAACTTAGAGCTAAATGTTTTCACAAATTAATTGTGCATGATGTGCATCTGCTGCAGGCAGGATTTGGATGCAAATGCAGAAACACAAGAGACAGGAATAAAGTCAAACACAGGTTTAATGCTGCACTCATACAAAATAGAAAATAAAAGCTGGACAGGAATGAGAAATCCAATAACTAGTGAAACAGAGCAGGGCCACACACAGAACCATGAGGAGAACAAAACGAAGACCCCACACAAATTGAAGGAATATAGATACAAGGTGATTAATGCAAACAAGAGACACCTGGGAGGACAGCTGAACCCAACTGAGGCAACGAGACAAGGGATGTGAAACTTAATACAAAGCACAAGAGACAAATAAGTAACTAAACACGGGAACAAACTAAGAAATAAACTGAAGATATTTAACAACAGCAGAACCCAAATGACCAAAAAACAGCAAAAGACCCAAGAACATGACAGAATTATTGCAAATAGTTTATTGGGTAAAAATGGTATCGTTATATAAGACCAGTGACAGACCAACAAGTGAAGTGCTTTCCCAGATTGTTGATGTCTGAGTGAGGAAGAACCTGTCAGCAGTCAGCAGGAAATAACATATCTCTCAGTCAAGTTCACTCGTGACCTTTGAGACAACAGAGAGAAAAAGGAAATAATAATAATAAAAACATACAAACTCAAGCTGAATTTAGTGAAACACTGCTGCTGGTTCAGTGTGTGCGTGACTGTTTTCTGTGTCTGATCTGCAAACAGGTGAGCTGTGACATCCCAGGACTCTGTCAGCAGGAGTACTTCTCCTACATCTGCTTTCATATCAGCACCAACGTGTTGGACATCAGCTAGCTGTCAACAGCAAGACTGAAAGAGCAAGCACACACAAGCTGTGATTTGTTCCCGTTCAGTCACTCACAGCCAGAAACATAAAGACCCCGATCGCTAAAATAAAACCGGAGAATATAAATATATTGTTTTCAACATTTCCCTTAAAGGAGAAAGATGTAAGGTGTAAATACAGGAAGGTGTAAATAATCCTTGGGTCATCTTCACCACAAAGCAAGCTGCACGTGTCCTGTGTTTGTCATGTGCTGCACGTGGAATTGTGGAAAACCTTAAAATATGTGTAATATCAGAGGGATTTTTTTTCAGGGATTCATTTTAAAAGTATATGTACTGTAAATATTAATGTCAGTTTCAAACATTTTAGGTGAGCACATTATTTCTAGAAATCTTACAGCTTGCACAAATAAATTGGATTTCTTCATTCACCATTGCCTGTTATTCTGCAAGAGAAATGCATTATCCAGAGAATGGACTCATGAATCTGTATAGAAACATCACTTGTGACCCAATTTAGATCAGAATGTTCACGTGTTGCAAGTGTCAAAATCTTAAAGTGGCGCCGTTCTGCTCATTTTCAACTCCATAGTGTTTTTCTGGATTCTATTAGAGATTATGTATCGGAATTTCAGGAGCGGGACCACGCCTCCAAACACGCTCCTTCCGGTTGTCATCTATATAGGTTACCCCCAGTTCTGCAAACTGTTCATTGTCGTTTACGTGCAAACGGGGTCCATTCTCGGCGAATACCTTTAAAAACAGCTAATCTCTTAGGAGTAACGTAATTTTACGTTAACAACTACTCAACCTCTGCCTCCATCGCTTTTCCTCCGGCGGCGCTTCCAAAACAACGAATACCGAGGACCTTCTAGCAGTTTTCTCGCCACCCGACATACGGTCTGCTACATCCATCCATCCAGTCAGTTTATCTCCGCTAAATCCAGTCATGAAGTAACTCCGGCCGCCCGCCACTTCAGCGAAAACCAGCGAGGTCGCCCGCCAGCAGAACTCACAGCTCCTCTCATTTTGCTCCGAAACGGGTCACAGGCCGGGCGAGTTAGCCGTCAGCGCCGAACCCACGCTTCCAAACAAAGCGCAGCTCCAACAGCTCCACCCACCCGCCAGCGCCAGGTAGCAGGGGGAAGCTCAGCTCTGTTCTCGTTCCCACTAACACCATTTAATGCAAGCTGGAAATCTGTCGCTAGCGCCATACTCTCAACTGTTCTCCATCGTCGTGATGTTTCCATCGCTCCTTTTGCTAAATGCTTATGCAAATTGGCACTGGGTTGCCCAGTTCTTCCCTATCCGCCATTCGCAAACGCAGCAGCAAGCTCCCTACCACCGAATTGCCAGTTTCTCAGGAAAGACGAGACACACACGCACAAACTCCGTAGCAAACGTGGGCAACGAGTTGCCAGGTTCCCAAACTCTCATCTGCTGAACTCTGCAGCAAATGTTGGCACAGAGTTGCCAGGTTCTCGGCCACTCATCCCTCCTCTGCTACAGGTTCTCGGCCACTCATCCCTCCTCTGCTACAGGTTCTCGGCCACTCAACCCTCTTCTGCTAAACTCTGCAGCAAACATCGCACTGGGTTGCCAGCCTTTCAGCCACTCATCCCTCCTCCGCAAAATTCTGCAACAAACCTGGCACAGAGTTGCCAGGTTCCCAGCCTAAACTCTGCAGCAAACGTCAGCACTGAGTTGCCAGGTTCCCAACCTCTCATCTGCAAAACTCTGCAACAAACCTTGGCACCGGGTTGCAAGGTTCTCAGCCACCCATCCATCCTTCGCAAATTTCTGCAGCAAACCTCGGCACCGGGTTGCCAAGTTCCTTTCTCCTTCGTTCGCAAAAGCAGCAGCAAGCTTTTCGACCATCGGGTTGCCAGTTTCTCAGCATAGTTAAGGGGAAAAAAAGGGGGGCACAGAGTTGCCAGTACTCCTTCCCTCAGTAACAAATGCAGCATGCTTCGGGCACAGAGTTTCCAGGTTCACTCCCTCTTCCCTCCTCGGCTAAACTCGATAGCAAATGTCGGCACCGGGTTGCCAGGTTCCTTTATCCCTCATTCGCGAAAGCAGCAGCAGCTTTTCTATCATCGGATTGGCAGTTTTCTGCATAGACAAATAAATAAAAAGGCACCAGGTTGCCAGGTTTTCCTTCATCCCCCATTTGCATGCAGCATCTAGCTTCCCTACTACCGAACTGCCAGTTTCTCCGCTTCTATCATTGCAAGCAGCAGCAAACCCTTCTAGCACAGTGATGTCAGGTTCTTGCTATATCTGCCATGTGCAAACCGCAGTGACAAGCTTCTTACCCCTTAGTTGCCAGTTCCTGTCCATCCATCATGGCTAGAGAATCCTTCAAGCTGGTTCCTTCTATATCCATCATTCGTAATCACAGCAGCAATCTTCTTCCACCACGTTGCCAGTTTCTCTGCATCCGTTATTGCAAAGCAGTAGTAAACCCTTCTGGCACCGAGATGCCAGGTTCTCTCTTTATCCCTCATTCGCAAATGCAGCAGCATGCTTTCTGCACCGCAATGCCAGTTTCGCTGCCATCTTTCCTGCCTTAGTAAAGGAAAGGTGAACCTTCGTGGTACCGAGATGCCAGGTTATGTCCTCTATCGCTCCTTTTAAGACATCCAAACTGCGTCGTACACATAATTCTTCATGGCGTCCCTTCACTTCTGATGTGCATTCACTAGCATCACCAGGCATTCACCCTCGACACAATCATTCGAGACTGCTCTCAAAGTTGACTCACAGTTCTGACTGCGTCTGAACGGCTTATCATCTCCCACGAAGTCCAGTGGACTCACACTCTGCTCTCGGACGATTTTGGGGGTTATTATTATACGGATTATTTTCCTCTAATCAGTCTTTCAATTCATCAACTCTTCCCGAGCTGGTGCTGTCACTTCTGTTAATTCAGAAATCAGCTCAGCCGTTATTGCTACCTTATCTGAAGTAATTAACCAGCTAAGCACCCCCTCTCCATCTTCTACTCAAAGACAAGCTCACAAGCTTTTTGAGCCGCCAAGTCCTACCTCAAATCTCAAATCCAGCATTCTTCTCTGTCAGAGCTTCAGCTCAAAGTCAAGCCATGTCGCTACCCGATCGAAGGTTCTCCTCATTCATCCATTAAGATTTCCGTTGTTTGCAACTTCCTTTGATCTCTTCTCCTGCCATTCCTTCCGAATTGTCTGAGCTCATCCACTCCACACCACGGAAGGACGTTCGCTCTCCGTGTGCTCGTCTTTGTCCTCTTCTCCTTCTCTCTCCCCAACCGGTTGCGGCAGATGGCCACTCCTCCCTGAGCCTGGTTCTGCCGGAGGTTTCTTCCTGTTAAAAGAGAGTTTTTCCTTCCCACTGTCGCCAAAAGTGCTTGCTCATAGGGAGTCATATGATTGTTGGGTTTTCCTCTAGACATCATTGCAGGGTCTCGAGGTGTCTGTCACTGTGGCTCGGTGCTGTATAAATAAGTCGAATCGAAAAATCTAATTATTCTGCTGACGTCTTCGACCTTCGTATCACACAGTTATTAATGCTTCTAGGGGATGCCTTCTTTGGGGATCTGCCAGGCCCGGGAGCCGTCGCCAGTCCACTTCAAGGCCTTTCCCAAACCGCAGCTCAATTCATGTCCAAGCATTCACCTTTACCTACTAAAACGCTGTCAAACCTAAAATGACGATGTGGGCCCAGCTAGTGAAATAAAGTACTTTTGCATGATTCACAGTTCACACGTATGCTATATCAGGCCTTGGTGCAGCTTCTTAGATCCTCCCCCCTTTATAACACCCCCTTTTTAAACCATCTTTTTTTTCACTCGTTGCCTTTCATAAATAGAAACTTTGAGAGCAGGTGAGTGAGGCTGCTGTGTTCAGAGCCAGATCTGTGTGCCTGAAATGACCATATTTGGAGTTTCACCTCAGTGATATCACACAAATACAAGGGTGAGAAAAGAGCTCCTTTTGCCATTCACTATGAATATCCACTACTGGAACTGTACATGTATCTAAAAACAATAAAGAAAAGCAAAACAGGTTCACTTTGAAAGTAGTCACCATGTTGTAACAAGCCACGGGCAGGGATAGCTCAGTAGGTAGAGCGGTCAATATTCAGAGTAATATTTCTAATCAGTATTCTTTTTTTTTATTAGTCAGTATATTTTTATAGTCTGTACAATCACCAGGTGCTGTTGCTAATTAAAGCAGTACTGACATTTTTGCAATAACAACATGCAGCGTGTGGAAAAACACTAATTAGATTTTCTTAGGCTTTAAGGTGGGCTGTGATCAAGTGCTTAACAGACATCTGCAGCCAACTCTGCTCAACAGCTGGAGACCAGTGGTGCATTTTCCAATACTATCATTCTGTTTAGTATGTTGATTGATTTTGTATGGTTTACTAAGATTTTATATGCCCCAGTAGCAAATATGTGAAATGCAATATGCCAGCAATTGCTAAGATGCTAAGATATCCTAATGCATCTGGTTGCATTTAGCAGTATGCACGCCCACAAGTTTTTCCTCTGATATAAATAATATCTGATCCATGTGTTGCCTATTACAAGATTACGTTTGGGGACTCAGTATCGTCTGTGATGCAGAAGGTAAATTTTGTGCTGCAACAGGTATGAGAAGGTAAACATTCACAGTGTGGATTAAATATGAAGTTTGTCATAATTGTATGCATACTACAGCAGCATGCACCTCTGCAGTAGTGATAATAAAGAGGACCTTTGCATGTATTTAATGTGTTAATAAGAAGAAAAAAATATTATCTAAACATGTTGCTAACTGGATGAAAATACTCTTTGTACCACTAGTAGTATATAGCAGTACTAGTTTACTTCAGGGGTTCCTAACATGAGCTCACAAGGGTCACAAGCTGCTTTGCAGGTTTTGTAAGATGATTAACAGCACACCAAAGAAGAAAATAGAGTTTTGTCAAATGCTTACGTTTTATTGTTGAACTTATGACTAATTCTCGTTTGGTCTTGGATTCTT